TATAAGCCTAACCTTTTTCTTTTACTAAAAGAAATAATTCGACATATGAAGTCTGATTATTCATATGAAAGCTACTATTCCGCCCCTATTTTATGGCTTTTTGCCGTTAATCGTTTTTTAACTAGGTAGCGTCCTCTAATTGGCTAATAGGTCACAGGAAGATGTGTGCAGTAGCGACATGTCTCAGTAACATGAACATATTAAATACGGCACTAACAGTTATACAGGCTTTAGAATGGAACAAGCATTAATGCGAATTATGAAGTTGAATTAACATTGGAACCTATTGTTTTGAGTTAATTTATTTCAAAATAGTAAAAAATATTCATGAAAACCAGTGGTACTAACAGTAAAAAAGTACTCATTGCCTAAGAAATAAATACTTTTAGACCTGTAAAAGAGATTGGTAGCACCACAACTTAGAATTTTCAACGATCGACCTTTTAATTAACCTGAATAATTTACTCAGTCAAAGATGCTAACGGTCGCTTGATAGATTATAGTAGATCAAGTTCCGAATCTAACTGACCTATCTTTTTAGGAAATCGATTCAAGGTAGTAACAATTTTTTAAATTGATCTTAAAACAAAAGACAGGTACATTGTAAAGACCAGTAACCAGATTCGTATGGGTATTTCACACCATTACCTCATGAGGCTCCCCAACAAATCAATACTCTGAACTCGTTATCTGACAACAACACATCGTACAACTGCTCAAAGTAGCATGATTCAGCAAGTTTGGATCTCCTACATAACCACCAATATTACAACCAGTATCAGTATATGAGGATTATATTGGTTAATAACTCAGCCGCAAGGCTGAATGTAGGAACAGTTGATTAGAGCTTCAGTTTCAACTTAAAAGGAGCAGTTAGAATACTATACAATTTAAAGTCTTATTTACAGGGAATCATAAAAAGTAGCTTAACACCGTTGTCTAGTTTTAATGTTATAAGTATGTTGTAGATAGATTATTTGACTATCTTTGGGTACCAAATCAGTTTGTGGAGAAAAATCTGAGAACCCGTGATGCGTTTTTGCGTAATGAGAGCTATAGCACAACTTTCTGCAGAGCGACGAAGCTGTTTGAAATCTTTACTAAAAAGAAAAGCAAAGCTTGGTAGCTTATGAAGTTAACCTCCTACTCGGCACCCTCAGTGAAATCTGGCAAATGACCGCTAGTAGGTTATGACAAACTGACTCGATCCTACCTGATGTTACTAAATATTCAGCAAGGATTAGATGAAATGGATAAGAAGGAAAAGTGATCACTAGGTCCCAACTCGACTGACTGATAAAAGACCAGTACATACACTCATTGGACAATCGCTTCGCTTTTGTCAATGGTAAGAGCAGAATGTCCTCAGTTATTAAAAACAATAAAGTTATTGGAATTCGTTTGATGGAAAAGTCAACTTGATAAAGGCAATGAATTGCCAAAGAACGACACCTAGACAAACTACATAATACAATACACATCTTTATCTCAAAGACTGGAATTCGCTAATTAATTCAAATTCCGCCTCTGAGAGTTGAGCTAGCTGGATTACCAATAACATCGTACCTGTATTGAACTAGAGGTACTATCAAGTGAAAAGCTAGTTTCTAAAAAACACAAATAGCTATATGTGAAGTTGTAGCAATAAATCTGCGAATAAATGGATCGTCTATAAAATCCTTAATTCATTTATGATGGTTTTCTGCAAACTACGAGCCAGTTTGGAATTCCCCTAATGTTAAGTAGGACAGAAAAGCATACATTACGAATTCACATACCCAATGGTGAGACAAAACTTGAAAAGTATATTCGAGATTTAAAATAAACACTTTTTCTAACAACGTAATAAGCAATGACTACCAAATACGTTACCAATCAGCCAGCTACAACGTAGGACTAAGTACGTACGTACATAACATACTAGCACAGATGGAATTGCCGCTTTAAATCCCACAGGAGTAGAGGTAATGGAAGTATTAGCGTTATTAGAGAAGATTAGGGTTCGAAGATATGATTCGAGAGGTATAACCCAAGGAAATAAATTCAAAAAGAGGAAAAATGTCGTAAGAAATCCATGTTAGAATTTGAGAGAAGATAAGCGGATGCATCAGAGCCATCGCAAACGATTCTGAGTCATGCCATTCAAAGTCTCGAACCATCGGTTATTATTGTCTCACGAACCCCAGCTAGGTAGTATACATCTACCAACATGGCTCAGTACAGTTGGTAGTGACTTCACACACTGGAGCTGTTTTTGTTTGGCCACCCCTAGCTTTCTTCCAGCCTACTCCTGCATCCGACAACATTGTTCACCAATGCAGTCAGTGGTTAGGCGTACGTAACACATGTCCTAACCACCCCAACTGATGAAGATTCACCACTTCGTCAATTTATCTACGATCCTTACCTAGTACCCCCTTCCTAACATCAGCATTGTTTACTCGACAGTCCCAGGACATACGAGCACTTCTTCGGAAACACTGATGGTCGGATACTAGGGTACCACGAATACTCTCTACTCTTACTGGTCACGTTTCACAGCCATAAAGTAGGACGGAGCGAACTGCTGGGTAGAACCGTAAGAGGTTTCCTTACGATATCGTTCCTACGTCCAGTAAGCCGCAAACAAGTGCGCGCTCGCACTAAAGCATGGTCTGAATCTAAGCAAGTGCTCCAGAATGAACGGCAGTCTTCAATGGAGCCTCTCCTCCAATGGCTGGTAGAAATGTGGTCTGCTTGGGTAAGTTTTGGGGGTCGCCAAATCAAAAGATGTTTTTCCTTATTCTTAAAGTTAATGTTTGCTAGAAGTGGGCGATTATCTGAGCATAGCTGCAACAGACAATCACCATTATCTGATCTCTGAGCCACGACACTATAAGTTCTACCCATGTGAGGTGTTACATTTTTAGGGTCGACTTTTTCTAACTCCATTCCTTGTGAGAAGGTAGCATCGCTGTAGATGTTGGTTGTCCGACGGAAACGCCTTACTGTCGTCACACCCCTCTATAGTCCGCAGTACAACTTTGCCCTCAGACGTTGGGCGTTTGCTTTTAGTCTAATCGTTCTCCCATCGATCTGCCTGGCATGGTAGAACTTACAGCCAATATAGCTCGATCGGGTCATCACGATAGACAAGCCCGACCACCAGACAGATACAACGCAGAACTTCGTACGTAAGTACATCAGTTCAGGTTGCCATATCACATTAGCACAGAGACGCAACTGTCAGTTCAAATCCAAGAGTGATAGTGATAGTAGAAGTATTAGCAGTAATGGAGAAGATTAGGGAGCGAAGATATGATTCGAGAAATATAATTCAGTAAGATAAATTTAGAATGAGAAAGGTAGAGATTGAGGAATTCAGGTTAGAATTAGGGAGAACACAAAGAGTGGATGCACCTGCGCGATTGCAAACGATTTCGAGCCATGTCGTTCGAGGTCTCTAACCATCGGTGACTTACGTCCCACGTACCCCAACCAGATAGCCTACATCTACCAACATGACCCAGTCCACTTATCAGTGACTTCATGCATTTGTGCCATGTTTTGGCTGCCACTAGCTTTCTTCCAGCCTACTCCTACATTGCAAAACACAGCTCGTCGCGGCAGTCGGTGGTTACCCTTACGTAACACATGTCCCAACCACCTCAATTGATTTGCCATCCCTACCTAGAACTCGTTTCCTAACGACAACAGTGCTTATACGGTTGTCCCAGGATACACGAGCAATGTTTCGGAGACATCGATGATCGAAGACTAGTACCCTACGAACATCTACTCTTAACGGCCATGTTTTGCATCCGTATAGTAGGAAGGAGCGAACTGCTGCACCGTACACTCGTCTTTTGGTTAGCGAGCTGATATCTCGCCTAAGCCATAAGTGACGCAGTTTGGCAAGAGCCAGTCGGGCCTTCTGTATCTGTGCTGAGAATTCGCCAGTGATCAGGCCATCAACACTGATCAGACTCCCCAGATACGGGGAGCGATCAACCCACTCGACTACTTCACTCCCTATCACTAGTTCAGGTGCCGATGCAACCCAATCCTGAAGCAAAATTTCGCATTTCGACGGGGAGAAGCGCATCCCGAACATGCTTGCATTGTTGCTTAGGGTAGTCAGAAGACTGCATTTTGTCAGCGTGTTGACCAAGTAGGACTATGTCATCGGCATATTCTAGGTCAGTAAGCGATTTTCCTGGTAGAAAGTCGACTCCTGAAAATTCAGACGAGGATAAGGTTACATCTGGCAGCATGTCTATGACAACATTAAATAAAAATGGGGAAAGTGGACGTCCCTGACGGACACCACTTGAAGTAGAGAATTCAGATGACAGTTTGCCACAAGCTCTCACCCGACCAGTAGTTTTAGAGTAGAGAGCTTGTATAAGGTTAATGTACTTCTTTGGTACACCTTTCAATGACAGACACTGCCACAGAATTTCACGATCTACAGAGTCGAATGCTGCCTTAAGGTCTAGGAAAACAACTATCGTTGGACGCCTAAATGTGTGCCTGTGTTCCAGGACCTGTCGTAGTGTGAAGATGCGGTCTATACATCCACGTCCAGGTCTGAAACCAGCCTGGTTTTCTCTAGTCTGCTCTTCACGAGCACTAGTAAGGCGTCTAAGTATAATCGAAGCTAACAATTTAGAAACTATGTTAGTTTGACTTATTCCCCTGTGATTGTCACAAGAATACTTTTGTCCTTTCTTATAAATTGGGACCAGTCGGATGGGATTGTGTCCAGTTCCCAGATTCTACCTAAGATTTCAGTCAATTTAGCTGCTAAAGCTGGACCACCATCCTTAAAAATCTCAGGGCTAAGCCTATTAGGACCTGCTGCTCGCCCTCGCTTTAGATTTCCTATGGCCTTTTCAACTTCATAACGGTTCGGAGGGCAGCCCGACCACCACGTCAAGGTAACAGCTACAGTCAAGATTTACAAAGTACTGCCGTCATTATAACTGGATCTGAACCATGTTTAAATCAAAATCAAGACATTGAAACAATACAAAACTATTTGAATATTTTTGTACACAGAGTAACTTTCAATTAGAGCTTTTTCTTTTTTCCTTTCGATGCTTTGAATTTTTGGACTTGGATGGTTTATGTTCTAAAGTAAAAAGAAAGCACAAGAATCTCTAATAATACAAGAATTTAATAAACATAATTTTTAAAGTTATGAATTCTGTTACCAGTGAAAATTCATTGCTGAGTTTAATTTCAGATTTGCTAACTAACAATGCCCCATAATTACCTAAGACTTTAGTAATACCTGAAATAGGGGGTAGACCAACTTTCCTGTCATAGCGACTGTAAATGTCCACACGTTCATAGCTCCAGATAACTCCAATTCTTCTTTGTTTTACAGGGGTATATAGAAGGTAGGGAGGAAATGTCAAAAATCTCAGCAATCACGAAAAGGTTAATGTGAGAGTCGTACTTATGCACAAGATCTTAAGGTGTTACTATTTAATATTGTTAATGGATTTAGAGTTCATCTAGGCGGCTCCATCTGATCTATGTAACGATAAATAGTAACATAAACTACTCTGACCCATGGAATCGACAATAACATGCTCATTGCATAGCTTGAAGGTTTGCATTAGGGACGCAGCGCCAAGACAGTACAGAAGTGATTTCACAATTTTTAGTTTGGATCTGTGAAGCTATTTCCAAACAAATAAAACTATAGTAAAATCTTCAGTATACCCAAAACTATCGTATTGACATAACCCATTATCAGTTTGCAGTTAAGTTACTTGGTTTATATTTATAAACAAACCTAGTAAAAACAGGAGCATTATGTGTACTAAGAAAAGTAACATGACAGCCAAATTTTAAATGAAAGGTGCAACTATTACATCACTTGCAGTAAAAGTATTACTTGCCTCACTTAAATGGAAAAGATGTTCAGTTCATGATAATCATGACCTTTTATAGTTATTGAACTATACGATTACTTAAACTGTGGTTGTGGTGTGCTAACGAATACTAATATGGTAAAATACATACTTCACCATGTGGAACCAAATTACAGAGCACTTTTGAAGATTCAGACAAATTTGTTTTAAATTTCTGAGTTACTAGACACTGCAACTTGCTGAAGTGTATGACATGCTTAAACGAACCGTCAGAACTACCTTCAAACCTTCTGAAACGGATGCTTGTTCTTGATGCCCGACTTTCAAATGATTTTGAATATTCGCTAACAGAGTTTTCTCGAGTGGGGACACAGGAATCAGGTAATTTGGTAACTTGAGATTGAAGAATAGTCTCAGCGGTAGTGGGAGGATTAAAGCCACCGAAACTTTCTCGAAAACCAGGTGATACATTGTAGAGTTTGAAAATACTTTTGACAAATTGATAGCGACATTTTGACTTAAGGATGACGGCTCTTTTGTTGATACGTTGTTCAACAGAAAGAGGAAGTTTGAATTCATATTCTTGTGAATTTGGAAGGATATCTGGAACACCCTGGTTGGTAGCTTTTTCCCTGGCAACGAGAGTCCGTCGCATAAAGTTCATTTGGAGTAAATTCTTTGATATACCAAGCTCACTAATATCTAAGTTAGCCATCGTTATCTAAACGTACAGAAACAAATGGGGTATTAAGTGAGCATATTTCAATAAATTTATATTGAACATACTACAGTCATATGACAGAATTTAAGGTAAATAGGCACCCAATTTTAGCCACTAGACATCTTATGACGAATGACTCCAATCTAGTATACGGTCATGAGTTAACAGAGTCTTTATGGAAATCCTATCTAATGTTTCAATGTAACGAGGATTTTCCCCTAACAGATAAGGTCCTTCTAGTGTTCTTACATAACCTTACTCCCTACACCAAGGATATGAGTGCACTGAAGATAATACATTATCTTTATCATCTCAAATTGTAACAATTGTAATTGCAATCAAGGGCTCAGGTGAAAAGATAGCTTATCTTGGAAAAACTAGAATAGTTGAAAAACTGAGAGCGTGGATGGGAATGATCATGGTTAATCAAAGTTCGCATAACTCAACTCTGATGTACAACTTGAAGGCACAGATTACAATGACAGCACAGTGCTGTCCCGAAAAGTGAATATTAAGGAAACACGATGACCTTTTTAGCTTTATGATTGATAAGTGTGGGATTCGCCTTTATGTATGCACTATAGTCACAATCAAAAAAATTTCATAATAAAAAAAGTAATATGGATACGTCAGTTGAACTAGGTCTTGGAAATATTGTTACAAACCTCTTATACTTTATATGTAATCGGACAAAATATTTGCTCTCTACAATTGCCCAGATCTACACGACTATAAGTTTGAATAAAAGGATAATTTGTGAGAAGAAAAGAGTTCCTATATGGTTTATCGCGAAAATTGGAATGAGATATTACATACACACAATGGACTTTTATTAGGTAATGAGAGAAATCGATAAGAATCAGTATCAGAATGTGGAAAAGCTATTTAGCAACCTTGACCAGGAGTGAGATCAAGACCTGTTGAAGCTGCTACAACGAAGTATAATTGCAACACAATTTGGTAAACGTACGTAGCTTGATAACACCTCGTGTGCTATTGAAGAGTAAGAGGCAGTATGTGAATCTAGTAGAGAACAGAAAAATTGAAGAGTTTTGACTCGAATTATATCCAATTTATCTATACCAAGTAACTGGAGCAAATAATAGACAGGGTGAAAGTCAGATCGGAGCTGAAATTACCTCTCCTCCGCCTAGACGACCTTGAGCGACTTGCACCGAAGGTCATTAATCACTTGAATGGCTAGTAAGAATAATTATAACAGAAAAATCCCTCAGTCAAGGAGTTGAATAGATTGCTTTGAAATTCCTTATATATCTGAGAATTATTTAAAGAAGGCAAATTTTGATGTCCGCCAGAGTTTCTAGCAAAATGCCGTGAAACAAATTATTCCGATAATCAGGGAATTCACGGGTACAAAAAAACTGAAATGGTATGATACAAACACAGGGATATTTTTGTTAATATACCGATATGCTAGTATATATATACATATATATATGCTATATATATATATATATATGCTAGTATATATCGTCATATTTCGAAAGTGGTGGTGCTCAAATAATATAACTCACCTACTTAAACTTGTTACCCCTAAAGGAGCATAGACCACCGACCAGTTTTCTCCAACGTACCATGTCCTGGGACTCCCTTTTCATTCCTGTGAAACTTTTATTCATTGTTCTCGTGTCTGTCTCCATTTCTCGACGTAATGTGTTCCTTAGCCTTCATCTTTTACTCTGACCTCGAGGGTTCAAGAAATGTAAGGGTTTTTACGTCCTCCAAGGCATCTCCATCAAGAATGATTTCGTTGGCGCATATTGTGCAGTATTGGAGAATCCTGCTTTTCATCTTATGTATGCTGAGATCTATTGCTTCTGGGGTTGCCGCTACATTGGTCGTCTTCTCTTGCAGTTGTTTTAGCGCGTGCAATAGAAGAGACTGATCGTCCAGCTGCAACCTACTTGTCAATTGTATACCGTGCCTCCCTCTATATGTTGACGTCTCCATAATCCAGTCGGTCACCAGGAGAAGGAGTGAGCGTAAGCAACCTTGCCTGAAACCGGTCTTCACATCGAACTAGTCTGCCAGCTATTTTCCATACACTATTTTGCACTTTGAGCCGTCACAAAAATTCCATATGGTGTTGACTATCTTCTCAGTCACGCCAAGTGTCATCCTGTCCACGCTGTCGGATGCTTCCTCGTAGTCCATGAAGGAGGTGTATAGTAGCTAGTTCTATTCAATCAGTTGTTCCATAAAGATCCAATTTTTTCGGTACACGATATATGCTTACGAAATACAAACTGTTTATCTCGACGTTGGGCGTCTCCAGAGTCCTTCATTCTGTTTAATGATACCCTATTGGACTTTGCTTGGTATTGGGAGAGGAGTAATGTCTCTGTAATTCTCACACTTGTTGGTATTTTGATCAGGTATTTTTCTTTTCAGTCTATTAGTACTTGTCCTTCATCCCAAATCTTGTTGAAGAGAATATGGAATATTTTTGTAGTTGCTGCCACGTCTGCTTTTGTTGCCTATGTTGGGATGTCTGATTGTTCTGATGGCCATTCGATTGTTAGTGGATCAACATCGATTTGAGCTGGTAGATTCAAGAGTTCCTTAAAGTACTCTATGCAACTTTCTCTCTGTTCATCAGTGTTGCTGATTACTTTGCCTTCCTTGCCTTTCACTCGTCATTCTGGTTTACGATAGTTTGCAGCGAGCATATTTGTCGTACCGCACAATTGTCTCAAGTTTCCTTCGCTTGTAGCCTTTTCCGCCGTCATTCCGAGATTTTCCACATATTTACGATTGTCAGCTCTAAAGGAGCTCTTCACTTGCTTGTTTGCTGATATGTATTCAGCATGTGCCCAAGTTTACTCTGCTCTTGCTCGTCTTGATTTTTATCCTGAGTACCAACAGAGATTCATTTCTTTTGATGATGCCGCTTGTGGCCCAGCACCACCTGACATGTTGAACTGACTGCCTTCCCGATCCGTTTCATTTCGTTCTTCATGGTTGTTTCCTCTCCACTGAGCAGATCGTGCAAGGCCTGGAACCTATTGCTGAGGGTTATCCTGAATTCGTTAGGCTTTCCATTGTCCCGAATAAAGGCCGTATTAAACTGCTGTGATGTTGTCAAGTGTTTCTTGAGTTTCAGTTTCATCTTGGTGACCAGTAAGTGGTGATCTGAGTCTATGTCAGCACCCCTCTTGGTTCTCAATCCTTCATGGTCCTTCTGAACTTTTTATTGATATAGATATGGTCGATTTGGTTCTGAGTAGTGTGATCCAGTGAAATCCATGTAGCTTTGTGTATGTGCTTGTGTTGGAATATTGTTCCGCCGATGACCAGTTTGTTGAAGGCAAATAGGTTAGCAGATCTCTCACCGTTTTCGCTGCTTTATCCCAGTCCGTGTCGTCCCACGATGTCTTCACATCCGGTGTTGTCCATCCCAAACTGGCATTCTTTGATGAGCCTCTGTCGACGATTGACTGCAGCCTTTCGTGGAATTGATCTTTAACGTCACCGTTGTAGTCACTGGTAGGAGTATAGCATTGGGTGACGTTCATTGTAATACCCTTTTTCTTTGTTTTGAAGGATGGTTTGATGATTCTGGGTCCTTGAGACTCTCATCTTGTCAGTGCCTTTTGTGCTCGTTTGGACAGCATCAGTGCAACTCCTTATGTGTGAGATGCATTTTCCTCTTCATGGCCGGTGTATCACAGTGGCTCTTCAGAAGCTAATCCTAGTTGTCCAACCTGTGTCCAATGTGTTTCACTGATACCTAGCACCTTCAGGTTGTACCTTTATATTTCTGCATGAGATATCATAACTCTTCCGAAGGAAGACCCTGTAACTACCAGAAAAAAGTTAAAATGGTTTGAGTTATGTTTTCTGGTTAGCGTTTTTTAGCGAGTTCGTTTTCTACGTGATGGAGTTGCCAACCCCTTTCATAACCTTTCTCTTTTATTCGTGCTTGTGACGGGCAGTAGGCCAAGAAGGGCTCCACTCGATGTTCAAACAAAATAACCTTAATAATTAAACTAGGCTTTCGCAATTCCCGTCAATAGACATAATATTCTGTTGAACAGAAATTAGAAAATGCTGCATGACCAGAGAAGTCCTAAGCCAATGGTATGTTTATAAGTGGCTATTTAGGTACCATAAGTAAAAAATAATGTAGTCACTGAGAATTTAGAATTGAAATTCTTTTGTCACGGAAATAAATAAATGTCACTACCCTAAGATGTATGGCTTTGTTTCTCACCTGAATTCCACGAAGCTCGTCATTCGCACCTCTTATATTTTGATTCAGCAATCAGATGACCTCTTTTTGCTCTATTTTATGGACCTGCACAACACTAGAACGATGAAATTCTTATGTGCAGGGATGACCGAAGCTTGCGTAAAATTTGTTTCTAAACCCTTAATCTTTTTTCCATAACTGTTAACCGTATTATATTGATGCATAACCAATATTTCATAATTTGTAACTGCCTGACAAACTTGTGAAAGGAACTTGCAGAAATAATGTTTCTCAACTGGATGTGAAACATAGAGCCTCAAGTAGAAGCCTGACAACACAAAAGAAGGGAGGGTGTAGTTACTGACCAGCAAACATTGATGGTGTGGGTGATGACTTCAAACGATCCATGTTTGTGGGGCACAGCAATTTGTTCGCTTTCGGATCTTTTTTATTGGTGAGGTTACTATTCAGTGATACTGATTTTGCTCTTATACGCTTGCGACTTCTGAGACTCATGTTTCCAAAAATATGCTGAGGTCGCTATGCTTCCACAACAACTCTCAAAATGCCTACTCAGGCACCTACGGGATGAATGAGAGGTTGGCATTTGAAAAAAATAAGTTAGACAGCTAGAAATATAATTACCAATGTTTTTTACCAACTTTACTATTCCTCTTGAACGTTTGGTTTCATTGTGAAAATATCCAGCTTCTTACTTCAACTCATCTTATATCCACTTGACACACTCAACATCCTTTCCCTCGTCATTGTTTTACTCCTTAATTTTTGGATTATATTACTGCATACTACTTCCGTTTTAGTGGTCAATGTGAATTTTATGTTAACTTTCCACTGCATTGTCAACTTCACCATGAGAGGTTAGGCAGTGGTCTGGTTATATACATATATTTACAAATGCCTATTGTTTTTCTTCTCTCTTTTGTCCCTTCTCAGAAGCCAATTTGCAGTAGTACATCCATCGCGCCTCTACGCATAACGCACCATATTAGCACTCACGCCCAGGTCATAGCATGTGTTTTAAGCTTTCCAATAGACACTGCCCGACAAATTCACTCCTGAATTGTGCAAACTACCTAGGGACTCTACAGTACACCTTCCTTATTGGCACTCATGGAAAATGTGATAGTACCGAAATGTTCCTATCAGTGACATGGTGTGTATGTGCTATCAGAAACAGACTCTTGTTTCTAAATTGACTTCGCTAACTTTTACAGTTAATATGACTGCATTTCTATTCAATTTTACCTAGCCCGCAAAGTGCACACGAACTGCTGCACAAATTTTAGCTCGATATTTCAAATCCAACTAGATAAGATTACATATTCATATTTTATTATTAGCCACACGATCATTGAAGTTGAACATAAAATAGCTGACCAGACCTTTCTCGTGCATATAGGTGTGGTCACTCAATGTATCCTCTTTCCTCTCGTATCAAATGTATCATTCTCTTTCCAGTCAAGCATATACTCCTAGAACCCGTGTAAGCATACTTCTGACTGTCATGATAGGATATGTTGGTAAACGGCGAAATGTTTCCCACAGACGATCTTATATATTAGGTAGTCACATCATGCCAAATTGAATTTTGTGGAATAGGTCTATTAATTTGTAAGCGTAGTGCATTAATAACCCTTTTGACCAAAGTCCTAGACTCTTAACTGAAGTATCCACGTCTATGTGAATCGAAGGGTGCTATATCGGTATCGACTAATAAGAGTGCTTGAAAGACCTTGATACCGTACACATGATGAAGATCAAGAAGCCGAACTCACAAAAAGAATTCAGACCATTTCCTTTTATCAAACTGATTACCTATAGTCATGAATGCATTACAAACTGTCAAAGAAAAGGCCTTGCTTAATTAATTATTCATAGTTCATTGATGCCCATTGGTAGTCCTTGGCCTTGACGAGAATCAATACCCACTCACCTGCCTGATGGATTATTCGGCTAGGAATCTGTAACATCCCACTGGTCTTTGAAACTAACATCATCTATAAAGCCAATATTCATGGATATGTATCCCTTGATCTAGTGAAAACTGTATGATTTAGTAAATCCCGCGAGTAAATTACAGATGCTCTATGTAAAGCTTTATCACTTTGTCTATATACCTTAGTTAGGCGGGACAGCTATCTATTTTGGTGACTAAAATAAGGATTTGGTCAAAAAATGACAACACAAAGTGGAAATAAATGGATCACATTCAAAGTCAAATTATACACAAAAGATGACAACAAATAATGACTCAAGAACATTGGCTGAGGTGTTCCTAGGCGAACACCACAGATTTCACAAATAAACATAGATGATTTTGTACACTTGTCTTCTTAAACAGTGTTTTAGGGGGTATAACTGGCCGAAATACAAAGTAGTGGAGAGTTCTCTAAAAGGTGCGCGATAAAATCATGACCTCTGTACAAAGTTATGGCCTTTAAAGCTAAACAGGAAGTTGGCATGTGTAGGTATACATTTGCACACCCGCTAGTAAACGGAAGTACTCGGTAGTTAAAAAGTTAGCTGTATTCACGTTCGGTACCAATTAATCTGAATATCTTACGGACACAGAATTCGATGGCACCACCGTTCAAAACGTCTTGTAAAATTATCCTAGAACTAATTGAACGAGAAGTTAAGGATAATAACATGTGGAGGTAAAAAACGATCTATTCGTCCAGCTGAATGCAATATAGGATGGACTGATTGTTGTGACAGATGCACGGCATGGCTTACCAAAACTTTATCTAGTTTTTCCGGCTTAAGAATGTGTATATTTAAACTAATCTGATTAGGATTGATGTCCAAGACTTGTTTACTGCAATGGCTCGATCCTCCCTAGTGAATTAGAGAGGTTATATGTGTGTTGACAAGCCAGAGGTCTGAACATGAAGAACTTGTGGTTGGAAAAAACGTTCTGATGCACTACTGTCAGTGAGCGTCCGAGCGCTTTTTTCCACCTTAAGTGAGCGTGCAATGCACAGCAGAAAGGCACAAAGCTGACAGTTTTTTCATCGTGTTCCTTTATTGATCCACCCTTTCCAGTAATCCTGGAAAATAAATAGCAATAACTGTAAAAACAGTACACCGACACTTAGTCAAGCAAGCAAACAACATGAAACTATAACAGACTATACTCATGTATGTACCATGAGGTGGGTGAAAAAATACACTCACGGACAAATAAATCTATGATTTTCTAGCTAAAAACTGTACATACCTAAAATAAAACAAAAATAATTTGATTTTTGTGATTTTACTTAAAACATGTGTCAGGATATTTATGAATACTATTAGGTAGCTTTGTTTTTTATAATAAAAAGCTAAAAAGTTCAATCAATAAGTCATAAAAAGGAATATTTTGACGAATAGAAGTTTTGACTAGTTCAGCTTTTATAGCCGGTTTGTCTCATAGTATAATTTCAAGACAGTGTATTGTAGAACTTTCCTACCTTAGCTTACGTCCATTAATTTTAATATGTTAGCGCCATGTTTTCCCAAAATATTTACAAAGAGAAGGATGTGAATGCAGATGATCAGCATATAATAGCGCAGACGTTTCTATGATTTCGGATGTTTAACGAAAACCACACTAATAGTAACCTCGAATGATTCACGCACATCCTGCTAACTGTCTTCGGCACTTTGCGCAAAACATCAAAATACTTTTTCAAGACTCATGAACATAGGAGGCATAAAATTAGATGATTACCGTGCAAATGATTTATCTGAGACACAAACTTTCACTACTTCTCGTTACTAAGGAGTTTCCCACCTGTGAGCTCGTTAAATAATTTTCAAAAATTTTCAGGGTTTCTACAGAACAGAATTTTCTGAGAAAACATCAAATTTATATATCTAATTTTTTGATTAATTGAAAATTTTCACTTTCGAATATCAGTGGAGTTTCCTTTCTTGCACATGCTTTTTCCCTTCTGAAATGTTTTCGGTTGTGGTGGTCTAAGTCCACCAAAACTTATAAACATGGTTTTTGTAAGACAGCAAACATCGAAGCCGAATTTAAGGTAAAAAATTTTGATTACTTACTTCCTTACGCTCACGAGTAACACAGTGATCGGTCGAGCAAGTTTATGATTCACATACACTCCCTCAAGACTGGTAAAAATTAAGTCAAAACGTGCATTTAAACATGTGGAAAAATTAATGGCATTCTGTTGACATTGATGAGACAAGATACATTCACAACATTTTAAATTAATACCTATACTTGAATGCAAACCCTGGAAGGCATTAACAGAAAACTTGATTAATACACAAAAACAGCTTGAACAGGATGCACGCCGGAGCCATCAATACTTTGCTAACTCAAACATAATCGTACACGTTCAGGTGTTTTGGTATCAAGTCTTTTGATGTCTTGAAACACGCAAAGTTAAATTTACAGTTCAAATAAGCAAACATAGTTATAGTAACACTGACCCTAAAAATAGTTATTGTAACAATGTATTATGGTAAATGATTGTTGTGAAAACCAATATTTCTAAGAATAGCTGACTCAAATATACTGTTTTTTATCATTAAAAATGTTTTATTCCCATTTTTCGTCCTATTTGAATCGCTTCTGAATTTCAGTGTATCACTGGTTTGCTTATTTAAAGCGAATCCCAGGTTTTTTCACCAGGAGGCGCACAGAAACGAGGAGAAAGCGCCAAGAAACAAAGGAGTTCATTCGAACACGTCACGTGGATATTGAATATTTCCAAGGTTAGCCTTGACGTCATTCGAAATCCAGTAGGAAATGTGTTTTTAGTTACGGTGACAGTTTGAAGCTTTCGCGTTATCCATCGTAAGTCTCGCTCTCTGGAATTTTTGAATCTGAAGCTTGCATGTTTACATATTTTCGTTTAGTATTATCGTTACTAACAATAAGCGCATAAAGTGCGCTCTATGGTCGTCGGCCAACCTCTTTTCTTCCTTTGTTTCTGTTCTCTCTGCCTGCCCCCCTCGTACGCAAGGTACCACTTCGCTAGATGCAATCTGCTGCTTCACTACCGTTAATGCGGTAGCTGAGCTTGTCGGGCATCACCGACTTTATTGTCTTTAATTGTTACAATGGCAAGTAACTAAATAAGTCAAATACCGAGATATCTATATCTTGGATAGCATTGGTAACGAATAATGTGTTCGGCGTAAGCTCTGGTCATTTACTCCCTGCATAAACATTTATGAAAAGGTTTCTACTCCTCCCGTGGTTGGTGACAAGAAAAATGCAGATCTCTTTTTATCTACTTCTCTTTGGATAGATACATTTATTACCTGGAACTTCCCGTACCTTTGAAACTGCTTCCAAACAACCTTTACGCTCTTAATAGCTCATCACGATAATACTATCCATTGTTGCGTTCCAAAAGCGTAATCTGCTTGTGATTAGATTAACTTTTTCTCTATAATTCCCTATGTACTTGTCTGGCCGGTCCCTATGACATCTTAAAAAGCAAATAATACGTATGTCAAAGATCCTATTTGACTTCTTGATACCAAATGGCTTTCCCCATGCTCCTCAGTTGAAAGGTCACGTAGAAACTGAAGAAGTCTAACCTCTCCTATTTGTCTAGGACTATGCAGTCACTGACTACGTTTTTCCCACTGTAAAAGATAAACTCTACTCGCCAAATTTCGCACAAGTGTTATTGGTTTTAAATTTGACTGTTTTATATAACTAATGTTCAGACTTAAAGGTCAGTTTATCTAAACACTCATCATTTTATTAACTCAAATGTATCTTTTTTAGGAAGCCTTTATGTTCACCAGAGTATTTACCAAAGTTGATCAGTCAAGTTGTAGATACTATTGAATCGTCAACTTAAGACACGTCTGATTTCCTTCAATAGACTATAAATTTCAAATATGGAAACCATATTAGTAACAGGAGGATCTGGTTTAGTGGGAAATGGCATTCGACTAGCTCTGGAAAATATTAACGGTCCTCTCAAACGAGATAATGAGAAGTGGATATTTCTGTCTTCTAAAGATGTTGATCTGACGAATAGTAATGCTACTCGTGCATATTTCGAGCTCACTCGCCCAACTTATGTAATCCACTTAGCTGCCAAAGTCGGCGGTCTATTTGCCAATATGTCTGACAATCTTGAATTCTTTGTGAGTTGAAGTAAGATTATTTATTCTTAATATTGATAAAAGTGCTGTAGTAAGCCATTTTCAAAGCACTGACTGTGCTCTACTCATTATAAAAAATCTAATAGTTCAAAGCTCTACGAAAAAGATGATAGTAATAGTATTTGAAATGAGAAAGAAGTTCTATGTATATACATCCAAGCTCATGTTCAAACTTAATGAACGAAAAGTTTTTGAAAATCTAGGTGTTAATCATTCCACTTTGAAAAACGCACTGATTAACTTTCAACCCAGGAGCTTAAAACCATTGGTGGGACTTGTTGAAGGTTAGTCTGTTGTCATCAAGCAGCGTGATTAGGATGTCAGTATAAGCTACTCGACTCAGTGAGGTTGAAAAATTCGTAGCTAATCTGAAGCGCAAGAGGTAGAAATGCCCTGTTGGATTAATCTCAAAGATCTATTAAGATAGTAGTAGTTTTCTCAGTTATATTAACTGTAAAATCAGCTAAATTCAAGCAGACGGATGTAATCCCGTATGGCTGAGCTCCATCGCTTTTTGTCTAAGCTTAGACGAAAAAACAAAGATTCTCTCGTGATAGACATAGAGGTTTCGATTTGAGCGATAGAGCGCCTCAAATACTAACCTCAGTAAACATTCGACGCTCAACTGGGGCTCGTGGAAAATATTTGGATAAGCTAGGCTGCTTTCATACGTGGACGTGCATGCGTGGACAATATACTCGCCCTTCGTATGGTTTTGCACAGACATACCTACTGACTCTCAACCGTAGTTGTATTTCTTGATTCCATAAATCAGTAGGTTTTATGGTATTGTCTATCACTGCAAAGCATAGGCTCTCTACTTAAACACTATCGGTTGAGTTAAAGCTGCCGGTAAGCTGTCATCAGAATGGACAGCATCTATTAGTGTTCACCAGGATTATCCACTGTACTCATTTTTATTTAACTTCATGACAGGCATTTCTTTACAGATGTATGTACATCTTCAAAGCATTACTCGTGTATGTTTGGATTACCGAGTGGACAATACTGAGGTTAAACCCAAGGCATTATACGAGGTTGACAAGTCAGTTGGTGCGATAGTATGTCTACACCGACTGAGGTACTTGGGATATGTATTACATACATCCAACCAACCCCCACCTTGAACCACGTTGTCTAGTATACTAGTAAGTAAGAAGAAATTTAGGGGCTACCAAACCATTCATCCATAAAGCCATTGATTGTTCGACTGAGACATGTTTATAGATGCGAACTAATGGGTTTGGATTCGCGCAGCTATCTCAGCTCCAGTACTTATCAACACTATATTGGTGTACGTTTATCACAAGATTCTCTTAGTACGTTTGTCAATTGTTGATAAATTAAATTTCGCTCACATGAAGTAGGCAATGTGAATTACAGCCATATTGCGTTGTATAATAATTAACCGCAATAATTAAGAACTGTTCTACTTGTCAGTAAACCAAACTCTTAATAATGTTGTTGGAAACATTTCAAATTACTGATTTACGAAGAGTAGAACAGTGATAGACCCCGTGGGCTTTGAACTGTAAAATACTATTAGCCTTGACTTAGTTCGTTATCTGTAAATAACGGTATTTATTCGGCAGCGTAATCACTACTACTTGGCAGGAAATGTTCCCACGTTTCCGTTACCATTTGTAACAAAGTGTGTTTTCTGTAGCATTCCGAGACGTCTATCTTTTGTGGAGATTTCTACAAATTGAGAAGGTCTTAATGCTACGTATAACTCGTGTATCTTGTTCAGTTATTAGTTTCAGTAATTAAACTGCTCCTGATTCCGAATAATCCACCGTCATTTTTTTATTTAGCGCCAAAATATGCATATTAATGACAATGTATTGTCAAGTAGTCATGCGGTTGGTGTAAAGAAGGTTATTTCATGTCTTTCAACGTGTATATTCCCTGATCGCACAACTTATCCAATTGACGAAACTATGGTACATAATGGACCCCCACATAATTCTAATTATGGTTATTCTTATGCCAAACGCATGATTGATGTAATGAATAGGTAAACTCACTTTTCCTTTCTTATAATCTTCAGAGAACACGTTATTTAACTAAAGTTCTCTTACTTTGTATCATCAGCCTTCTTTTAATCAAGTTATTTAGATATTAAATGAATATATTAAGGATTTCTAGGCTTTTTTACATGTTAACATAAAGTCGAGTCAGTTGTTAGTTTCCAATAATCACTTATGTTAGTAAAACTTTTAATGGCTTATGAAAAAAATAATAAATAAATTAGATCAGGCAATCAAGTTCCAATTTGATTAGCTTGTGAGTTGTATTCAAAACTCTCACCTATATGTATAAATTGAATTTTAGTGTTAATATTTCGTTTCGTTTTACTGGGGAAAAAACAATTTTTTAACACTAGTTATAATAGAGTTTTTGGTAAGAGTTCTTGCATACATACATTCAGCTTTCCAAGTTGTTGCTTAAGTTTTCTCCATTTTGTTTCCTCGTCATTTCAGAGGGTATAGTGAGACCTTTGGTGTTCTTTATACGTCTGTTATACCTACCAATGTTTTTGGTCCATTTGATAACTTTGACATTAATCAAGGACATGTTCTCCCTGGTCTTATTCATAAAGCTTACTTGGCTAAAAGTAATTTATATCGTTTTGTTTAATTTCCTTTAAACCGAATTAATTATTTCCACACTAATTTTTTCTACTTCTTCATAACATCAATTTTGATTAGTTTTTAGAGGATTATATGGTATAAAGACATTCAAGCTAACTTGCTTAATATGTGCTCAAGTGTTCGGCAACATGGTGGGGATTTAATAGAATCTTGATGGATAAAAATTCAATATTTTGAAGTATGACGTGTCTCATTACTTTCAGATATAACCAATCGTCATCTGAGATTACCATTCCACACCTTATGACTTGAAGTTAAATTTCACTGTATCAGCATAATTTCGTCAGTGGGTTATCTCTTTTTTATTTATTTGAATTATATAAATACTGACACATTTAGGCGCCGAAATAAATATGAAATATAAAGTGTCCCTAGTTTTAATTGCATTTTTTCTAGTCCGCTCTATCAGCATAATGGTTTAAGTCGTATCGTATTACCACACAAGGCTAAAGTTAAGTTGTAACCATATCAATACAGTTTTGTTAGGCCGATTGTTAGCTGGTATAAAATACTACTTAGCTGTGAGGATCATCGATGTACACAGATTGATATATAATATTTCAGCAAAGAAAAAATTCCTCCGAAAGTTCATGACGTGGTCTGAAATTAAAACAGTAATGTAAAATGTTTTGAGTGGATGATTTGAAGCATAACTTTGTTTCATCCGGTGCAGTATGTCTGTTTAGTTTCTTATTGTAATTAGTAATCAGAAACGTCAATAAAGTTTCTGTACCCCTAATATAGGACGTCATGATTAGAAGATACTTTAAAATTATCTGTTGTCAACATATTAATTAGTCTCTTGGATTATTTTTCGTTGAACTTATTCCTCATTTGTCATAATATCTTATTTAATCACTCATGTAAACTGTAGCTAGATTGTTGGAATCCTTATTTTAGTTTTCTTGATAGAGCACGCGAAATTTTTTATCCTGAAATGTTATATCTAAATGCTATTTTTATATACCTAGAGAATGGCGAGCCTTTAACTGTATGGGGTTCTGGTACTCCATTACGTCAGTTTATTTATTCTGTTGATTTGGGTCATCTCATCATATGGACTTTACGAGAGTATAACGATTCTTCTCCGATCATACTTTCTGTACCAGAAAGTGATGAAATCTCAATTCGTCAAGCTGCTGAAGTGGTAGCCAAGGCAATGGAATGTCCGAAACTGGTTGTATCCTTTTCGAATTTCCTTTCAGTATATTCTTGTTATTTTATGATCGTTTTGCTTTGCCGATCAGCAAATTAGCTCGGTAAATGTTTTTATATTACTTTCCCGTTGTCATAATAAACACAGCATCTCTTTTGGTAGATGTATAAACTGTCTACGTGTTATCTGAAGTACAGAGACAACTGTATAAAAACATGTTTCTAAAAGGGATATTTGTAATAGTTTACAATCAGTCTCATTTGTTCCTACAGTTATTCATTCGTCAAACTTATGTTAAAGGATGATTTAAGTTATCTCATAAGTTTTAAGCGAGTATTACTTGTTGTTTTACTGTTCGGGATGTATCACTGGTTTGCACAACCTAAGAATTTTTGCACTTATTTCAGATCATCAATCCTCTTCCAAGTTGTCTTAACACATATTGTTATTGTCATATCTACTTTCATAAGGTCTTAAATTGTTCCGACCACAGTTAAGTAATATTTAAAGACATACAAGTATGCTTTTTTCTAAAACTCTTATACATAAGTTATCACTTAACAATGACATACCTGACATTGTGAGCAGACTATAGTTTATTACCGAGCAACAACATTTTATCAATGGAATATTTAAATTTATCAAATCTTGTAAAAGTATATTTGTAGATAAGTAGGAAAAACACTCAATTTGGATAGATTTCTTATTCTTGTGTACCTATTACGATTAAAAACCCCTTGACGTAAATTCGATTTCAAGTTTGATACAACTAAAGCTGATGGTCAGTTTAAGAAAACTGCCAATGCATCAAAACTTCGCCGACTTTATCCTGATTTTAAATTCACTCCTTTTGAACAAGGTGAGTTAAGTTTTTAACATACCACGCGTTGAATATTTACTATGATTCCGTTTACTTTTATCAAGAAAGGATTTATGCAAAATATATATAATATATATATATATACTGTTCTTATTCAGTTATGAGATGTTTTAATAGGTTAGTCATCCATAGGGGCTTGCATCTTTTTGTTCAATAAGACCATGTTGGAATCGCAGTCTCACCGTCTAAAGTCTAGTGTTTTTATTTAGGTTGCTTTTTACTTCAGATTTTTGAGATTGTTTCCTAAGGCTTACTCTTCATCAAGCATTCATTTAAATATACTTCCATGCAATATTTTTTGCTTCTGTTCACATCTTTGATTCAATTCGTTTTCTCCACTTATAGTCTGAGCCTATTTATTTATATTGACTTTGACCATCAGTAATTATAATCACCCAGTATAGCCCATCAACTTATCTTTATTTGTTGTTTTCTGGTTGAGTTGTATTAATATTAACTGGAATAAACACTGAATCAATGCTAACAGAACTTATAAACAGTGTTTATACTACTGGATAACTCAGTGTCACATTATTCAATACTCAGTAGTTGTACATAATATCCAAATTCTGGGACAGTTCAAATTACTGAATTATGTTGTACTCTGTGTAAAATGAGCACAATGTCATTATAATCCTTTTCAACAAAAGGCTGTAAAATCAAAAATCGATAATTGACCTAGGCCTGTGATTAGCCTGGTAATATTAATAGTTAATATTAAATATCTTAAAACATTCGATTATCTGACAATTTATTGACTTTTTGTTGACCAGATTTATTTGTTCTTAGTTAAGTTAAAATATTTTACAAAAAAGCCTTTTAGGTAGCTGAATCACCAGGTATGAATTCTAACTTGATCTACATTTACTGTGCAAAGGAGTAGTGATGTTACCCGACTACTTAAACCTAGATGTAAATGGAATAGGCTCTCACCTGCAATATTTAAGTGGTGTAACCATTTGACTACCACTCTATATTATCCACTTACTCCTGCAAAATATTCTAAACAGATATTGTTTACTTTAGCAATTGTTCTTGTGTATTTTTCAGCTATTGAATATACGTGCAAATGGTTCCGGGAAAATTATGGCACTATTCGGTGCTAGTCGTGCTTACAATTTCCAGTTGATAAGTACTTTAAAAGTAGTCATTTTCTATGTATTTTCATACTATTTGACTGTAATCTGGTTAGCTATGAAAAAGATAAATTTCTTTTGATTCTTGTTTTTTTTTTAATTAGTGTTGATAATATTCTAAACACTCATTTGAAATAGGTAATTATTCGTATAATATCGAACAGAGTTTTTCTCGTAATATGGCCAATTTACATCAGTTTACATGACTGGTTAGTAATATTCTTCACAAAGCAATCCGTGCGATTTTTAACAAAGTGTGTGTCTGGTGCTACAATTTCTCAAAACTGTTCAAAATAGCCAGAATACGTAGTCTGTTAATGAAGTCTACAACTTCCCTGTGAATGGGCTGACCAAGATTCTAAATCATCACCTATCAGCTCTTAAGCTGCTTATTATTTTGATGATAGTTTGTAGTAAATCATCCCAAGAAATGGTGTAGTTCAAGTTGTAAAAATATTGTTTCGTAATATTGTTTATAACATTCGGAAACATTATTATTATTATAACTTAAAACTAAAATATTATTATTATTGCCAATAGACTCGGAAATTGCTTTCAAATGGACACTAATCATAAAATGAGTAAATGAAAATTGGAAACTGAACATACTCATCCCAAAGAATTGGAAGGATAAGGCGTTGCTTTAAACCGAATAACCATGACTGTTTAGAGTTACAAATCATCACAGTTGGCAATAGAAGAATGAGAACTGTGTATACAAATGTCACTTCATTGATGATATTTGATTTTGAATTCATAATAATTTAATATGATCATTTCTAGTATCATCGCACTGCTAGTATTATTTCTGCTCTCGTTTATTTTAACCATGTCTCAACCAAAATAATACAATATATGCCTTAGCCCAATAACGATTTGGCGTGAACTACTTGAAGATTTGTGTACTAGGTTATTGAGTATATCTATTTCGTGAGATTCTGCTACGCAGTGAAAAACTTGATATTATGTGAGTATTTCTGGTACTATCAGTTCGTTCAAAGTTCAGTAGTCTGGGCAAATATAAACGAGGATTTGCAATTAATTCAATTCGATACCTAATCATTGTTTCATATGGACGTCAAATTCAGCTAAATGAATACAAATTATAGCACACAGCGAGAAATAAATAACTATGAATCTACTCATATTTAGAGTTGCATGATAGAAATTCAAGTATAAGATACACTTCTGAGGAGTCGAAAACGTAAATTATTGATTTGATCATTACATGAACAATCTAACAAGCTTCAAGACATCAAAACAATTCTATCCGTATAGAAAGCACAACGAAAATAGGATTTAAAGTTTTCAGGAAGAAACAGTGTCCAGAAACTTACTGTTACTAGTGCTGGCATCTAGTTGTTGTGCTTGTATTAGTCAACAGTCTAAAGCAATGTCGTTGAAGACTAGCAGCTTTTTTTCAATATTTAATGTGGTTATCAGCTACACAATATTTCTGCTAGATCAATAAAAATTTTCGGGGTGAAATAATTTTTCCTAAAACACTAAGCGAACAATATTGTTTAGAAATTTTTTCACTGATTCACTTTCGTGTCTTTAATGAGTTAGTTCGGCATTTAGAAGGCTGTTGTCTATTTAGTAGGTCAAATGAGATTTGAATGAAGTTTCTGTCTATTCATGCTTGTTTAGTTTGGAGGGAGTTTTTCATCACTAATTATAACCGCTGTGTTCACTTGATGACAATAAAAATAAACTTGAATAGATACTAGAAGATGCACAGACAGTTGAACCTACAATTTCTAACAAGTTTTATTGCTTTCATAAATGACACAACATAACTAAATGTACGAAATATGAAATTTGTCAGCTAATACATGTTAACTATTTGTGGATTTTAAAGATTCGATACGGTAAAACGTTTAATAATGTTTTTGAGTGAAAATTTTCCCAACATCATATGTACTAAAAATATAAACTGGATCCAATTCTCTATACAATATTTCCTATTGGTAAATGTAAATGAAGCAAGAAAAACGAACGCAAATGAGTGATATGTCTTCATTTAATGGATTCTTTCTAACTGTTTACAATCTAGAAATAATAGTAATAATTAGCTAACCAATCCATACACTTCATATTCTATCAATGGAAGTTAGTAAATACTGTAATAGATATGAAAGAATTATTAAAATATGTCAATAATTTAATATTAACTAGTGTGGAAATTCTAGAGGAAAAATTTTAGGAACCCATGAAGACAAGTTTGTACAAAATGAGAATTTATGTTGGAATTAACGTAATAACAACTCTGGAAATGGATAGAATAACAGTTCTTTAAGTTTAACATGACTCAAAAATGAAGAGAAGTAAATTGTAACCGAAAGCATCAGATAGAGCATTACTCAGTCAAGAATATTGGAAACAGTAGTCACATATCGTCAGTAAGTATAGGAAAGTAAGAACAAAGGGGATGATGTGTATTGTTGAAAAAACTAGTCTTCTTGCAACTAAGCTCTGGTTTGAGAAACAGCTGACTAGTTCTTTTAAGGAGCATAAAAGTATGGGACCTTCATCGAAGCTTTATGATGCACCTGAACTCAATGCATCAAATACACCATGGCTGTAGTGTTTACCTTAAGTTCATGATTCAGGTCTACCCCTTCGCCGAGATATGTACAACTCTCCAAATCACAAAATTGAAAAATGGCTAATTAGAATCTAAGAGCCTCTGCACAAGTCAGTCTTAAGAAGCGTCCGGGGCGTTTCCAACCTCGTTTCTAAAGCTGAAATTATGCTCTCACCGGATGTTGTCACTAGTCGAAACGATTAGAGTTTACGCGTAAGAAAATATCAGAAAACAAAATCAATGTTGACTTCTCTCAGCATAGTCTGGAATAAATGCTCTCAAGGTAAACGTTATATGTCTATTTTTTCTTCAATAACATTTATCATGGGGAGATAGATGGAATAGCCAAATGCTGACTTTTAGACTTAGCCTTCGCTCATTTCTTCGAAATGAAATTAGTGAAGTTACAAGTGAACCAAACTTATAGTGCCACTGCATTTATTGTCGTGGATCATTTGAACATGGTGCACCTGGCAATCATTTTCATTGGCGAGGACAAGTGTGATGGTAAACTAAATTTACTTGACATTTCAATAAATAGACAGGGTAATGGTTTGTTAAGTAGAGGTATGTATAACAAGATCTCTTTTCCCTGCCAATACCCACACTTCTGTAGTTTTACGCATATCCACCACAAAAGAGATGAGGTGAGATGTCTCACAAGCAGAGCAAAAATGATCAGTCCAGTTGATGCAATAAAGGAGTTGGGATTAATGAAAAATTTGCTAACAGAGACCAGATACTCGATGAGTATTTTGAATTATTCATGTACTGTGGCAAATAATTCAAAAATACTGACCATTCGAAGGTAATCTTTATCCCTAAAACTACAATCCAATGGGTGCGTAGTGCCCTCCACATATATTCCAGTTCGTTTACATTCAATTTGGTTAAGCCCTTTTGATTAATTTATTTAACCAAGCCATTTGTATTGCAACAATTTATATGTACCATTCGTTCTTATTATTTTCTGGTTTGTATGAGCTCACATGACGTGTCCCACTTGTCATTTGACCCTTTCAATCATTCGTCGCTTTTATTCATGTATGTGCATGCCTATTTCGCTTGTCACATGTCTGTCTTATATTTGTCTGACTATATATTCTTAGTCACGCTCTATCTCTTTGAGTTGGCTCATTAGCCTTCTCCAATTCACGTCGCTTCATTCGTTTTATTCACTGCTTCTCCGCTTCGCTTTGTGGTGTGTCCCAAATAAACGTATTCAACATTACGAGTTCGCCTTCTAATTTATAAACCGTCAGACGCTAGTTAGTAACGATTGTCTGGACGAGCTAATTACCGAGCTTAAGAACACGCAGTAAATCGACACTACAGGTGTGTGGCTAGCGATATCCTGCATGATAGATTGTGGAGGGTAGTTGGGTAAACATTCTGTATAGCTAATCTTGCATTGACATCTCCTAGTCGATCAGTGTCTACTCAAACAAAGGATACGTTAGCACATTATGCATCAACAAATTCAGCTGGTCCTGCGAAAACAGCAATGTCAGGCGTAGCGCTAGGCACTTTGACCAATGAACGCGTAAACATCTTCCAGCATGGTTTGGAAAGGGCCAGATAAAGACAACACGGAGATCTGTCTAGGCACACTTGATTGATAGTGTCTATATTGTGGGTGAAACTGAGTTATTACGAGTGATCTTCCCTACACCTCCGTCATTTCCCAACGGAGTTTGGTCCCGTCTCCTACATAGCAAAAGCCAAAGGAATCCGAACATTCTGTCCCAGCTTGTGTTCAGAAGAAACTTGCAACATTCCTATCACGTCCTTGGTCAGATGACTTATCATTTGGTCCACCAGGGTATCAGGTACCTGTGTGGTCGCACCACAGGATTGAGCCGAACTGTTCATGTAGTAATGATAGAACGTGTCCAGTCTCTATGGTTCTCCTGAAAACTAATGTAAAATTGCCCTAGACAATACAAGGTGAATTTATGTAATTGTGGTCCCGACCGTAGCTGCTACCTTGATGTGGTGGTCGGGCTTGCCTATCGTGATGACCCAGCCGAGCTATACTGGCTGGAACATATGTTCCTGCAGGTCCTACCATGCCAGGCAGGTCGATTGGAGAACGATCAGACTAAAAGCAGCTACTCAAGGTCTGAGGGCGAAGTCGTACTGCTGACCGCAGAGGGGTGTGACAGCAGTAAGGTGTTTCCCTCGGACAACCAGCATCTGCAGCGATGCTGCCTTCTCACAAGGAAGGAAGGGTTAGAAAAGGTCGACCCTATAAATGTCACCTCACCCTACCTCACGGATTTCCGTCTCCTTGGGTAAGGGTGCCCACTAAGGGCCTTTAAGAGCTGAGCTAATACTCAAAAATCCTTTCATAAAAAAGCCATTCGTGACTGGCCTCAAGCAG